TACACTAATAATAGGAAGGGGGGAAACTAATTGCGGTGAAGACAGGACAAATCTTTTTTAATCCCCGTTGTCATCTTGACTAAATCCAAACCTATTTGTATTAACCTTTGCTGACAAGAGTCACATGACGGACATAATTTCTTGTAATTTACCAGCAGTAGAGCTAACCTTTCTTCATCAAATATTCATAAAGGCGTGATTCCCAATGATTTTCTGTCTCTTTAAATATTTACAGCTTGTTGTCTGCTTCCTTTTTTTGCTGTAATTTGAACACAATTGAAGTCAGATGAAATTATAGTTACATTTCTTTTCTGGCTGAGATACCTAAAGGCAAAGAGAGAGAGAGAGAGAGAGAGAGAGAGAGCTGGGCGGGGGGGGGGGGCGGTGGAGAGGAAGAAACTGCTTGCATGTTACAGGCTGATGGATACCCTGCCGAGACCTGGGCGCATTTCAGTCAAGCGCATGGCCCTTGTCTGTCTTTAGGATGCTGATGGAGTACGAGGCTGCTGTGGTGTTGAGGGCTGACGGATCTGGCACCATTTCTTCTGACTGAGATTGGCTAAGTCACCAGTGAGAGTCGTGATAGGGCCGGAGCCCAGTGGCAGAGCAGCTGCTTTGAGAGTAGAAGGTCCCATCTTTGCCTCTGGCAAAAGAGAATCCACTACTGCCCCAGGCACCCTCTTCCACTATAGAACAACCTATACTGTTAGGAAGTTTGGAAGGGACGGTCCATAGCTCAGCTGGAAGCCACAGGAAGGGACAGTGCTCTTGTGCTCTTGCCAGTTTGTGTCAGGCATCTGGTTGGCTGCTATGAGAAAAGGATGTTGGACCAGATAGGCCATTAGCCTGATCCAACAGGCTTTTCTTACCTTCTTATGTAATGCAACCCTGGAGAACATCTGCCAACCATTGTAGGCAATTTTGATCTAGATGAACTAACAGTCATGACTCGGTAAACCTCAGCTTCTAGTGTTCCTAATGTTTATTTGAAAAATCTGCAATCTTCACACCCTGGCCTAGAGGGAGCTCCAAGGGCCAGGCTGAGAGGTCTGGAAGGCCCCAGGGACTGAGGTCCCCAATCCTTGGTTGAGAGGAAAACTCCCAGGTCGCTGTGCCACTGACTAACGTGAAGGAATGAGCTCCCAGCACCCTTAATGAATTACAGTTCTCAAGATTCTTTGTGGGAAGCCATTGCTGTTTAGAGTGGTATGATACTGCCTTAGGTATATAATGCAGATGGGACCCAAGTCATGCTTAGGAAAGACCCAGTGAAATCAATAGGACGTTAGTTGACCTTGTTAATGTAGAGAGCCAGTGTGGTGTAGTGGTCAAGTGGTGTTTTTCAAACTTGGTCCCCAGCTGTTGTTGGACTACAACTTTCATCATGCCCGACACTGATCCTGCTAGCTAGGGACCTGGGAGACAAGGGTTCAAATCCCCAACCAGCTTGAGGGGTAACAAGTCAGTTTCTCTCAGCCAAAGTTACGTTGCAGAGTGGTTCTGAGGGCAAAACCAGGTACGCCACCTCAAGCTGCTTGGAGGAAAGGTGGGATATCAATGCAATAATAATGTTTGGAAATTGTTCGTATAAACATAACTTAAGGCCGAATCCCTTGAAATTTGTAAGAAGCATGGGCAGGTGGGGTATGCAAACATTTGGCAATTTGCTTCAGCCAAAAAGTTAACAGGAAGATTGAAGGCTATAAAAACAGAAAAAATACTTGGATACTATCTGGTTTTGATTTTATTATATGCACTAACACATCCAGCCATACTATAATCCCTCCATCAACTCTTAGAGACCTGTGGGGAGACTCGTTAAGTTAAGCTGCTGAACTTCATAGTAAGCGATAATACAACATATGTACAGTGATTCTGTTTTATGCTGGTGCTTGTTATTTGTATGTTTAGAAAGTATTTGAATAAAAATATTCATTAAAAAAACTTTAAGCCCCGGGAAGGTGGGCCATTATTACGAATACTCATATTGTATCAGCTGCACCAGGGATGGAGGGGTGTGGCAAGAGAACAGCATCATCTTTAACGCTGGCAAGTCAATTCATGGACAAGGCGTCACTTGAACCAGCCATTTTCCTGGTTCACGGCCTGGTCTCTTTGCCATTATGCCGCGCTAGCTCTGTGTTAGCACTGAATATGTCATCTGAATTCCCAGCCAAGCTGTTTTCTTGATGAAAAAAGAAGTTGTGGGGGTGGCGGGAGCGAGCGAGGGGTGGAGGGAGAGAGGGAGAGAGGAAGGAAGGTGCAAGTTTCAGCTTAGCAGTCTGCTGATAAACTTGACTTCCCATCAAGTCCAGTCACAAGGGCACGGGGGTTATTTCAGCTAATCAAGTTGCTTGCGAGAGCTGTTACGGGGTAACCAGTGAGGCCCAGTGGTTTCCCAGGTGACCTTGGGGCCGTAATGCACTGCTCAAGACTGCTTTCCCCGTTAATAGCGTTTTGAACAGGCAGATGATGTCCTTTGATTTAGTATGACCTTCTCAGTTTACACAATTCCAAGACGCCTTAAAGAGGCAACTGAGAACACGGCACGGCCAGGGCTTTCTTTCACCTACAGAGCTTCTCTCTCTCAGTCTTTCTCTTTGTGCAAGTCTTACCTTGAGAAGTGTGACTGGGCGAGGGGGGGTGCATCTTAATATTTGTATACTGCAGTTCATTTCAGATCATTGGCACTGTCTACTGATTTGGGGGCATGTTGTTACTGATAGGATTAAAGCAAGCCATCTACATTGGTGAAGACTTGTCTTATTTATTTAGTGAACAGAAATTGTATGCCATCGAGTTGTAGAAACCTCAAAGCGCCTTACATAAAAATATAAAATATACATTGAAATAAGTTGAGAACAAGTTGACAAAAAATCACTATATAGGTAAAACCAGTAGTTTAAACATAGATTTTGTGCGCACACACATAGACAGACACACACACACACACACACACACACACACACTAAAATGCTGGTGAACTACATTATCTGGGTATAGTTGCTTTAACAAACTAAAAATTAGCAGGCACTGAAAACAGTACAGTGAAGGCACTTGCCTGTTGTCAATGGGCAAGAAGTTCCGAAATTTAGGTGCTGCCACACCAAAATATAGAGTTTTTACCAATATGGAATAGGCTTTGTGTAGCGTTTGTGGAAGCGCTAGTTCCACAGATCAGATTACAGGGAAGAATGATTAGTTTTTATTATGCTTTCTACATTATGTTTATTACATAGCATCCCATCCTGGAATTTAATTTAATGAAGAGTGGGCTGGAAGTGCCTCAAATAAAGAAATGGAAGTTATGCAAATTTAACCAATTGATTGATTAATTGACCCTGAAGAATCAACTAAGATTTCTTTAATTGGGTGACAGCCCTAAATGTACAGCCCTAAATGTGAGCAGCCCTGCTGCTGCTGCTGCTCCTCCTGCCATTCAAACAAAAGCAACCATGGCTTTGCCTTGCTGATATTTGTTTCTGTCTCTGGAAAATGTAACCTGTGCATCCACACCAGACCCTCAGGTACGTGAGTGCACAGCAGTTGATTAAAGCACAGATGGGAAGGAAATATTGATCCTCCTCCTGATCCATCCAAGCCTCTTAGCACATAGTGAAGGCCTTTACTAATTAGAAAAACACCTCCGTTCATGCGATTAGCTTTAAACCTCTGCTAAGGCAGCGGCAGCGTCCAGAGGAAGTTAAGTAGAATCCTTTTGTGTTTTGCTGAATAGGCTGGTTGTACCGGGGCTCGTGGTAGATAATGTTAAGTAGGATTTCTGAATTATTGCATGTAAAGTCTCAAAAGCAGCTTTGTGCCAGAAGGAGGTTTCTGCCAAGGTACACTTGGCGTGATGGAGATATGTTTTGTATAGATAAGCCGCCCAATATAAGTTGAGTGACTCCGAGTGCATTGCGGTGGAGCTCCAATACCTGTGACGGCTTTCCTTCCTGCTTTTCTGGGCCTGAGGTTTCCCATCGCTGTCTGAAACCCTTTAGCTAGCCATGCCTAAAGCACTGCCTTTCTCTGCCCCACAGTTTGTCTCAACCCATGGAGGAGGATGAGACGGTCTATAGCTTCTAGCCATGGTGAATGTGCTCTGCCTCTACTGTTGGAGGCAGAAAGCCTCTGAATACCTGTTGCTGGCAAACACCTGTGGGGAAAGTGCTGTTGCATTCAGGTCCTGTTTGCAGGCTTCCCATAAGCATCTGGTTGGCCACTGTGAGAACAGGATGCTAGACTAGATGGGGCTTTGGTCTGAGCCAGTAGGGTTCTTCTTATGTTGGTTTGTTAACCCCTTACACCTGAAGCAGGGGTGGCACAAATGACACTTGTTATGGAGATGCTTTAATGGAAGCAGAAGGCACTTGCAGTTGTCTTCTTTCTGGTGTTCTTCCATAGCTCTGCAACTTAGTGTCAAAACTGTAGTAAGACACTGGGGTCTAACCATGTACTTGAGTAGCAATAGCCATGACTATTTAGCTCAATGAACGGCACACTCCTGCTTATAGTCCTAGTGTGTCAAATCTCTAGTGCACGTTAAGAGAAATCAGAGTCAGAATGAGAATCTCTCATACAGATTCTCTGAGGCTACTCTAGAACTCTGAACCTCTTTCAGAAACACTAGAAGGTATTTATAAATTGGTGGTTGAATTAAGCCAGTAGACTTCAAGATAATTTCCCCTAGATTTTATTTACTGCATTTATGAATTTCTTTTGGCCAACATTTAATATGGACACACAGCAATGTGTGACATCAAGTGTTGGAATCTTGCTCCAGCATCATCATGTATTGTGCGATGCCCACATGGATTATATCAGTATATGAGTGGGCTGAAAACAAGAAGATATGGATGGCATGAACAGGTTGTATATGCGTATGGATGCACACTCACCTGAGAACATACTGAATCAATCCATTGTTCCATCTAGCTCAGTGATGCTAAATAAGCTCAGATTTCTGAGGTTTCAGACAAGGGGACTCTCCCATCCTTTCCTGGAGATGGCAGGGCTTGAATCTGAGACTTCCTGCATGCAAAGCAGATGGTCTCCCATTGAGCTATGGCCCTTCTCATAAATAAATATTTTATATGTAGTGTATGGATATTTGGAAGCCCAAGACTCACTCCCAGGCACTGTCACATATGGAACATGTTGAAATATCTTGTGACTGATTCCATTATCCAATTTAACTGGCTGTTCTCTGGATGTATTAACAGAACATTTGTTCTGGAAGGGGATGAAACCGAAAGTATAAGCACTCATTCACAGTTCATTCATAAGTACTAACAAAGGATCAGCCTAAGCCACTTTGTTTACGCCTGGGGTTCTACCTACTTTATTCTCATTAGGTTATGCCCTGTGCCAATGATTCCATCCAGCAAGGAATTTCAGAACCAGGCACGCCATCAATTGAAAAGCAATTTTGTCATTTCAATCCAGGCAAGGGCAATTTTAAGAACAACACCCAAGTTTACTCTGAAGGTCATTTCAATCTTCCATAGATCTCGGGATATTACATTACCTCTTCATTCTCTCTCCCACCCCCTCTCCACGAATCCTCAGCATAAGACATAAATTGAAGGTTTGAAGTGTCTGTAGACAGACATCAGACGAGCTCTGGTGTAAAGGAAGACTTCGCCATTATTTGTTCTTTACCATCCTAAAGTGAAATAGAACAAAGCTTCAAAGGCCTTTGTAGTGGAATGGCTCAGAGCCAGTGCTGTATATAGGAATCCATAAAACAAGTGGTTAGATTTCCCCCTGAAAAGCCTAGAGTGGCACTCTATGGAGGCAGTGCCTGGAATTCCAACCAAATGGATCTTCATCCTGTAATATGTGGGTATGTGGGCTTATTGAACTAAATATGGCAATTGTCCCACCATAGTGACTTGTGGTGAATGACTCAGTTGTCATATGCTGCTCATACGCTACTAGGCCAGATTCAAGGTTCTTATATTAATTTACAAAGCCATTAGCAACTTGGGTCCAGGATACCTCAAGGACCCCTTAATCCTTTATATCCCTGCCTAATCACTGAAGTCTTCGAGGAATCAATGCCCTCATGTCTCAGATGTGTGGCTTGTATCCACCCAAAAGCCCAGTTTTGTAGGCCCAGTTTTATGGAGCTCCCTTCCAGTTGTGGTTAGACAGGTCCCTTCACTACTGAATCTCTGGTGCCTACTGACTGCTTTTTTATTCCAGCATTTTAATTGAATTCTGATTTTATAGTTTTAACTCATTTTTAGTCTGATTGAATGATGCCTCTTGTATGCCTCTCAGTGACTATTCTAATTAAGCAGTATATAGATTGTCCAAGTAATAATTCATTAGCCATTGCACACTTAGGCTTTTATGCGAAACAGGGTCTTCTCCCAGGACCAAATGTGTCGGTTTTCTGAAACCAAATTAATGTAATTTAACATATTTTGTGGAGCATATTCTTTGAATCCAGAAGGTCCCATGTTCAATCCCCAGCATCTCTAGGGAGGGTTGGGAGAGATCCCTGAAACCCTGGAGTGTCACTGCCAGTCAGTGTAAACTCTGAACTAGGTAGACCAATGGTTTGACTCAGTAAATGCAGCTTCCTGTATTCCTATGCAGAGCTTGCATTCTTCCACTGAGACATCCCCCCACCCCATGACTAGTGGACAGTATTTACAACATATGCATCTGCTTTCCATTTCTTCATTTTATGACCAAGCAGCAAGCACCTCAGATCTCAGCTATGATCATGGGTAATCAGGGACATTAATTTACAGCATTTGCTGTATTGTAAACTCTGTATTGGGGGGATTTTAAATTCCCTAGACCTCCTGCTTTCCAGCATTTCACTAGTGCTATGTGAATTTCATTTTTCATTTTATTTTCAAGGCAAACCAATATAAATTGCTTTCTCGTAGAAAAGAAGAAGAGGAGAAGATTAGCTCCTTAAGTCTTCTGCTCCTTTCTGCTCGCTGGCCTTGGAAAATTCCCCACATGCTTTTAAAAATGTCCAAATGCTTTGACCATAACACAGGAATGGCAAGACACCAGTCCTCAAGCCACGGATGGGCTACAGTGTGTCATGAAAATCAACAGGATGGAAATCCACATTTCCTCCCCGTTAGCCAATCTGCAACGTTAAAGAAGCAAGAGATGACATATGGAGGAAAGGAAAAACGACAAAGCCCTTGTTGGATCAAACCAAAAGTCCATCTAGTCCAACATCCTGTTTCCCAGAGTGGACAACCAGATGCTAAAATGAAGTTAGCACATGCTTAGACTTCCTTTTGGGATGAGGACTGCAGGCTCGGCAAAGGTGTTTTTTTGGAAACTTTATGAGCGTTCATGAAAGATTGTCCAGAAACCCCATTCTCTCTGATCTGAGCTCTTAGTGCAACTGATCTACCTTCTACACATTTTTCAGGTCTTACAAAATATACTCAAAATTGGAATCACCCTGACCAACTATATCATACCCAATTCCTCTTAGCATGACTACTGTGCAAACAATGAGCATGCAAGATATAGTGGTGGCAAGCCCCTTTCTAATCTCCATGCATTCTCTCAACAGTGTAACTGTTTGAGATCTACCTGTGTACAAACAGTACACATAGTTGGAGACCTTGCTATTTGCCGGCCCCCCAGCTGTACATACAGGACCTATTCTCATCCAATTTGTTTGTGTTTGTAGGATTGTACAGATGATCAAATGAATCATCTGGCAAAGTCTTCAGGAAGTTCTCAATGCTCGTAGAGCAGAGGATCATGAGTGATTAGTAGAACACATGCTTAGTATGTAGAAGATCCCAAGTTCAGTCTGGCACCTGAAGTTAAATGATCAAATAGGTGATAGGGAATACTCATCTCTGTCTGAGACCCTAGAGCAGGGGTCAGCAACCTTTTTCAGCCATGGGCCTGTCCACCGTCCCTCAGACCATGTGGTGGGCCGGACTATATTTTGGAAAAAAATATGAACAAATTCCTATGCCCCACAAATAACCCAGAGCTGCATTTTAAATAAAAGCACACATTCTACTCATGTAAAAACACGCTGATTCCCGGACTGTCCGCGGGCCGGATTGAGAAGGCAATTGGGCCGCATCCGGCCCCCAGGCCATAGGCTGCCTACCCCTGCCCTAGAGAATCATTGCCTGGCAGAGCTGACAATACTGGGCTAATATGGATTAAGGGCCTGACTTAGTCTAAGGCAAGGCATGAGGAATCTGTGGCCCTCCAGAAGTTATTGGATTATAGCTTCCATCATCCCTGACCATTGACTGTGCTGGCTAGGACTGATGGAAGTTGGAGTCCAACAACATCTGGAGGGCCACAGGTTTCCCATCCCCGGCCTAAAGCAACATCATACATTCATCTCCAGATTCCAAGAACCATCTCCTCTGCTGTGTTTTTCTTTCCACTTCTCTTCCTTCTCCTTTGTTTTCCATTATAGCCTGTGAATCAAAGGAAGGTCTCTGGACCAATGTAAATACAGCTCTAGTAAAATAACTTGGGCAAGTTCATAGCTCCCTTGCTGCTCTTGCGTCACTGCTTTTGGCTGCCGGTGGAAAAAATAGAAATCCTAACATTGTCCAGGCTATCTTCATGACCTAGAGGAAGAGAAATGTTGGTGATGATTAAAAAAACAAACAAAGCATGGGTCCTGAATGTTAGACTCTCTCAGCCTTAACCTTATCTGTATTTCTGGAAGTAATGTCCAGGCTGATAATACAAAGAGATTGGAAACACATTTTGAAAGTGCATAAAGCCAATAATTGGGGCAATGGAAACTGCTCATGCCTTATACTCTGTGTATAGCATGCTTTTTGTTTCCCTATGCAATCTTAGGAGACATCAGCACCAAGGTTCGTAGGGTTAGGAGACAACAAGTCCAGCTATTTGTGTCTGCTAGAACAACTATTTCTTCTTGTGCAATGGAACCTCCTCTCCCTCTCCTATCCCAACACGCATGCCCACGGACGCATACACAAACACACATGCTCCTCAGATCTGCACTGGAGACTTGAAGGACCCCACGCTCCAGAACAGATTTAGGGGGCATGTGAGGAGAAGAGAGGGAGGGGAAGGTCCATTGCAGATCCACAAGGTCATGCACTAGCAAAAGCACTTAGATGGATACCACCTTGTCCCATTTTTCCATTTAACGCAATGTCTTCAAGTTTGAGTTTGGACATGCCATGCTTAATCACAATATGACAATGCCTTTACTAGGTCCAGCCAAAATGTTACAAGGTGGCAAGAAAGCTGTTCATCACAGGAACAGTTATGCAGATCTGAGTGGATTTCAGGATGTGTGGATGTGCCTTGTCTCTTGGGATAAAGCAAAAATAATGACAGTTCCCCCATTTTTGAAAATGTAACGTCTGGCACCTAACTCATCTGTTTCCAGCCCCAACCAAATCACACAGGCAGAAGTGAAGAAAAACATGGTTGCCTTTATATTAGCAGAGCTAATTGAGATTAATTTTATCCTGGTGTACTAGGTACAAAGTCGATAGAAGACAACACAGTATAAATCCTTAATGCTGTATTCTCTCCTGATTCTTGGTGTTCCAGTTGGAGGGTGGTGGGGTAGGCATTGGTGCTAAAATTCAAAGCTCACAAAATGCCAACCAATTTTAAGGTTAATACAGCAGTAGTCAGGGTTGCCATCAGCACCTGGCATCCTTGGGCTGTTGCCAGGACCCTAGTGCCCCCAGTTGATGCTGATACTGAGCTAGCCTTTAACTGTTGCTTTCTTTAGCCTACCACTCTGAGCAGTGCCAGGCAGTAGGAACAAGCCACCCTTTTAGTTTTCCATAGTGCCCTTGACTTCCCACCCATCATGGTGGGAAATGAGTTTTTTAAAATAAAATAAAAATCAGAATTAAACCTATTTCTCAATAAGTGCTTCTTTTTTTGGAGGGAGGGATGTAATAGATCTAGATTGCATGTGGACTACATAGTAGTATCCAGTCTCCATTGATTCTAGAATAAAAGGATGTGTGTATACAACTAATGTCTATAAACTCAGTTTGTAGTTGTAGATGTCCCTCACTTCTCTTTGCCTCTTATGACATCTACATG